GCAGAATACTCTGAAGCAATAGGAAAATATTTTCAGCATTATGCTGTTCATTGAAATCACGAAATGCAAGAACACGTTTATGCATAATCCAATCACTATCTATCCAATGACAAGTAACACCCATATAAGACAAATTATGATAAGTTTCACTCCAAATATCAGAACAAATAGCAACACGAGAATTAAAATTGAGAAAAAAGTTTGCCAAATTTATTTTTCCAGTTTTATACTGACGAATAATTTCTCGTTTAATTGTTTTTCTTGAAAAACCTCGTGCTTGAGGGTTTAATGCCTGTTGACAATAATCAATAAATCCAAGTTTCTCAGAAAACATGTATGGCAAATTTTATTCACAAATCATTTCGGCCATTTTTTGCTTATTTTGCTCGTCGCTATAAGCAAAAAGGCCGCCCTTACCTCTGTTAGCAAACCGAGAAATTTGGGTTTGCACTTCTTGTCGTCCCTTCTTCTTTGCCTCGTATTTGGCGAACTCCACGGGATGCCTCGACCTAAGGTGTTTTTCCGGACCGCCATAACCGCCGGAAACTCCCATTTTTATGACGGTCCCGCAATGTTTACAAGTACCAGAAACTACGTCATTTTTTGTGTCTTTGTCAAAATGATAAACGAATAAATCTGATTTATATTTTTTTTACCTTTGTCCGGACCTCGAGAGGTCTCGGGCTCACCTGCCTCCAGGTCGACGTCGTTGCTCTCCGTTGTAGGCTCCTCGTCTCCGTCCAGATTATCCAGATTTGCTTCATCAATATCTTCGAATACACTATCAAGAGTGGGGAGATTTGCGTCCCCTCTACCAGAATAAATCTGCTCGAATTCTTCATCCGTCATAGCGTCCCCGATTAAGTGATCGAGGATAGTAGGAAAGGAAGAGACAGAGTGTCTTCCTCGAGAAACGCGTGAGGTCGAACTGTCAGAGGTGGCTTTAGCTTTGCCTCTTCGGTTCACGGCGCCCATATCCACGGACCTTCTACCGGACTCTCTCGACATTTTAATATATATATTTTTTGATATAAAAAATAATATATTAAATTTCAATAATTTACTCCGGGTAAAATATTTTCGAAAATTTATATTTTAAAATCTTGAAAATTTCAAAATATAAAGAATATATTTATATTATTTAAAGATTAAAGAATATATTTAAAAATTAATAATATTTTAAATTTCGAAAAATTTGAAAAAATTTCGAAATTTTATATATTAAAATTTCGAAAATTTCAAAATTTTAATGTATAAAAATTTTATATTATTATATAAATATTAAATGTATAAAAATTAAAAAGAGATAATAAGATTGAGAGATTGATAAATTGAGAGAATGAGAGAATGAGAGATGGATTGAGAAATTGAGTGATTTTTTAAGAAAAAAATGTGAGAATTTATAGTTTTTCCCCCCCCCC